GAAGTCAGGCCCCGCAAGGAGCTCCCGCCCGGCCATCTGGGAAAGAATCACCTTCCGGTGTCTTCGCTGACATCGTCACCCCCTTCTGTGTCCTCCTCCCAACAACATCATCTCCTTCCCAACCAAGCATCAAAATACGTTAGATTGCCTTCCAGAAAGACCATTCTGGCAGCTTCCTCCTCTTCAAAGGGGCATTGACTGGAAAGGAAGCAAGTATCCTTAGGTATGGAGTCCAGCATCCGTCGCCCCTTTATTATCTCCTCCTCTCCCCTCATCCCCCTCCTCCATCTCTTCTCCCGACCACAGCATCACCACCACTCTTGTTCCAACCATTCACCCACAGTCTCTTTGACTCAGTTGCTCCCGATAGCTTGTTCCATCTTTTTTACTGATCACTCGCTTCTCCACAGAGTCTTTGGTAACAACATTTGCCATTGTCGGCGTCGATCGAGCTCGTCCTGGTTCCAAGGCCTTGATTCATCTCCAGACAACAAAGGTGAGTGGCGATGACATCCGACGTTGGCCCCCTTTACACTTCAAGGGCTTTCCCCCGTGTCCTGGACCTCATCTGCATCCATGTCTGTGTCAAGTTCCTCCAATGCCAGGTCCAGGAAAACGGGCGTCCATTTCCTGTCATCATGCCCCAGATTGGAGCCACACTGGTCCTCACCTTCGTTGACTTCCGCTGGTCAATGCATCGTTAATATTGACTGAGTTCCCCCTCCAGGTTCCCCCAATTAACCACTCTCCCCGCTTCTTGGAAGCATCTGGCATCGTTCGAAGTAAGTTGCTCTCGGAACACCTCCCTGTCACACCACCATTCACGGGCATCGTCTCCTCACAATCATAGAGTCGCTGACAGCAGCCTTTCCAGACCTCGGACATGACTATGTCTTATCAGACTCACGCCATGGACTCCAAGCACTCCGTTGCCTTCGCCGGAGCCGGCAACCACGTCCCTCAGTATCCTGAGAACCAGCTTCCCGGCATGGTGTCCAACGTCGACTCCTTGACCGGTGCCATGAGCTCGTTCCAGGGAATGTCTCTGGGCCATAGCATGGGTCACAATGGCACCGGCATGGGCCAGATGAGCGCCCATACGTACATGGTTCCTCAGGATTACATCCTCGCTCCCCATCTGCCCGGTGCCGCTATGGGCATGGACCAGCTCTCTCAAGGTCCCTATGGCCCCGCCGCCGGCGGCTATCTGGCTGCCCCTGGACAGTTCAATCCTTACGTCCCCTATGGCATGATGCCGTTCACACCTGGTCGTGCAGTCAGCGGCAACGCGGTCCTCCAGGATCGTACGAACCGCAACCACAATGACGTTCCTGGTCTTGAGAACCGCCGTCACAGCGGTGGTTCTTACAGCACCACAGAGTCAGCTCCTACCACTCCATTCTACAACGGTGCCAAGAATGACAAGGGCCCTCGCGTCGCTGCTCTCGATCGTTCTACTTACACCACTCCATCTCCCCAACAGATCGTTGGTCCCAACATGTTCGTTGAACCTGCTGCCAAGCACGGCGTCATCAGCATTCCGGTTGACCGCAACCTGGAGGAGATGCTCAAGCAAGAGCCTCCTATCCCCAAGGCTGTCCCCGCCGTCTTCACTCCTGCTGCTCAGATGAAGACTCTGGACCAGAGCCTGGAGAACCGCATCCCCGGCAACCGCAATGTCTACATTCGTGGTCTTCACCCCACCACTGATGACGAGCTCCTGTACCGCTTCGCATCTCGTTTCGGTGAGGTCGAGACTTCCAAGGCCATCATCGATACCGCCACTGGTGCTTGCAAGGGCTTTGGCTTCGCCAAGTTCTTTGACGTTCGCGACTCGGAGATGTGCATTCGGGGCTTCCATCGTCTGGGATACGAGGTCGGCTTCGCTCGTGTAAGTCATTCGTCACTCCTCCATGCAAGGGAATCGTCTGACATTTCTTCTAGGAGTCTTTCAACTCTCGTCTCAAGGCGGAGGGCGACGAGGGATCTACCAACTTGTACATCTCGAACCTCCCCAAGAGTCTCACCGAGAACGTGAGTGCCATCATTCACATAGACAAGATTGACTTGGCTGACTTTCCCAGGACCTCGGCGACATTTTCAGAGGTTACCATATCATGTCCTCCAAAATCCTTCGTGACAGCATGGGCAACAGCCGTGGCGTTGGCTTCGCTCGGTAAGCTTGCTCTCGTCTCTGATGCTTTGGGATCTGGCACTGACAACATCACCAGCTTCGAGTCTAGAGACGTCTGCGACGCTGTCATCAAGCAGTTCAACGGCATCCCCATCGGCGAAGAGGGAATGGTCATGAACATCCGCTATGCCGATACTCCTGGTCAGAAGGAGTTGAAGCGTGTCACTGCCGAACGTCGCCAGTTCCGAACCAACGAGTACAACATTGGTGCCTATGGCACTCCCCTTGTTGGCATCCAGCCCAACATGTACAACCAGCCAGCTTGGAAGCGTGCCTTGCATGCAACCGCCCACACGTGAGTGTTCCTTCGGTCTGTCTCAGAAGGCAAACACTGACCTTGCACAGCGCATATGCGCCTCGCTCTTTGACTGGCGGTTTGGATCGCATGAGCAAGGGCGTCAAGTCTGAGGGCTACCAGGCGGGCAACACTGTTCAGGGAAAACCCCAGTACTGTGACCACCCTCGCCATTGGAGCGTTCTTCTTGACTAACTTGCTTCTGCAGATCGGCCGTTGAGGTCTCCGTCGAGGCCAGCAATGCCGACGATAGCGACGAGGGCGTGACAATCCATGCTGACGCGACCACACCGGTCATTGTCAGCACCCAGTCTTCGCCCGTTGTGAAGAAGGAGAGAAAGGAGCAAAAGGAGCAGAAGTGAGAGAATTGTCAGGAGCATTTGCATTTTCGGGGTACATCATTCACGTTTTGCCGCACAGTCTTCGGGTATTCTGGGCGCCGCAACAAATGGCAGTATCGGTTTTTGATCAGGGAACATGTTATGCTCTGAGGTAGCTGATACTCTTGCCGCATTCAGCCCGGTTGGGCCAGCTCTAATTCTTCTTGTACTTTAGCTTTTTTTCGGGGCAATTCAATTGGGACGGAGCTTTGTCCTTTGCCGTACTTATTTGTCCAATGTTTTGTTGTGACGTGCTATCCAACACCGAATCGAATTTCAACCATGTGATGCTTGACGGCGACACGAAGAGGGATGGATGAATTTCAATTGGGTCTATTTTAAAGTGATGTGTCATGTCTACGTTACCGTCAACTTCGAAAACTTTTGGGTATCTATTTGTTCCTGTCCCTCGCCGGCCTTGTCTTCATGGCCACCGACAATAGGCTCTTCGTCCTCCGCCTCGTCGTCGTCGTCCTCCTCCTCATCATCATCGTCCTCCTCCTCATCATCGTACTCCTCTCCAGCCTCGCCGTCCAGGTCATTGTCTTTGGATGAGGCCTGCTCTTGAATGGCCTTCTCCAGATCCTTGGCCATCTTCTTGGTGAAGCCAGATGCCTCGACGGTTGCGTCGAGGCGGGTCGCACCGTCCTTTCCAACCGTCTTCTTCGCATCCTTATAAAAGGGGCCCGGGGTGGTGGGTGTGAAGTGGAATCTCTTTTGGAAGAATCGCTTGATGCAGTTGACATCTCGGTCAAAGTACATTTCAGCGTTAGTGTGCTCCATTGAAACCATTTGTGGAAAGTCGATGACAATGGGAACTAGCTTGATGGATCCCTCCTCGCCTTCCTCTGTCTTCGTGGTGGTCGTCTCTTCCTTGATCAGGATGTTGAATTCATTAAAATCACCGTGGATCAGTCCATGTTTGGCCAAACGCAGGATCAGATCGATCAGCTCGGCGTACAATGGAGCCGGGTCCGGAACTGCAGATATCTGGCGAAGGGGGAAGGAGTCGATGAAGGACATGACGATGGTGTGTCGGTTCTGGGCAATGGGGTCGGGTACGGGGAAGCCTTCTGCCTTGAGCGCCTTCATGAACGCAAACTCCTTCATGGCAGCTAAGCGCGAGAGGTACATCCATGATCCCGACTGGTTCTTCTTGAGATAGTCTCGGTTGGACTTGACGGTACGGAAAGAAATACGACCCAATCTGTGGATCTTGAGGATGAGCTGCTTGCCCTTGTCGTCGGCAACCATCATGATGTCACTCTCCTTTCCAACACCGACTCTGCTTCCCACGCTGTAGACCTCCTTTCGCGTCGAGTAGGTGTGCATGGCAAGGTAGTCGAGACCTCCATAGGACAATCGGTAACCGTCATACTTGGCCTCCTTGACGCGGGCAATGAGGCCGACCTTGGCGAGGTTGGAGATGGACTTGTGCACGCCATTTGCGCCACCACGGAGTCGCGACAGCTTCTCGATCAACACGGTCGGAACCAGCTCGTGGTTTTTGCTGCCTTGCTCAACCTGGGGCATCTGTAAGTGGGCTGCGAGGGGTCATGGAGGGGTAGAATCCGTACAGCTCCGAGGACTTTCCAGTCCTCAGACGCCAGATGGCGCAGCGCCTTGGTATCCAAATGCATCTTTCAGAGTCTGCGATTGTCCGAGTCGGGTTTGACGGGGTTTCTCTGCCTAGAAATAGACGCTTGCACGGGGAAGCGAGATATCACACCTCGTTTCGCGGCCCAAGTCAAACGAAAAGTTCGATATTTTGCCCACCATCAAGGTGGGATGGCTTATCGATAAGACCCGGCCCCGGGATACTTGCGACGGAACCGGCAGGACGATTGATGACAAGTCCGGGTCACGTGCCTCGAAGGTCTGTGCACAGCAAGCAGGCTGCAAGGCTGCTCGCGTAACCAGGGACGGGAGCTCCAATGTTGCTTAGCTTTACAACAAAGCTCTCCCACCTTCCATCCCTCTCGATTTCAACCACTCACGACCTCAACCTCTCCCGACAGCAATCATCGACCGGTGTATTATTTCCTATCGATACTTCCATCTCCGCGCCCATTCTTGACAAAAATCCCGAGGACGCATCCCGCCCGCCCAGAGTCCACAACACTACGTCAAGATGGCGCAGGACAGCGAGAAGCCCACCGCCGCCGACAAGGGCAAGGGCAAGGCCGTGGAGGACGGCAAGAAGGACAAGACCCAGGTCAACGGCAAGAAGGAGGATGAGAAAATCATTGATTGTGAGAGCATCTCAGGACGAGCTGGAAGGTGCAGGTGGCTAACCGTTTGCAGCCGCGGAGGAGCTCAGCGAGGAGGACCAACAGCTCAAGAACGAGCTGGACATGCTCGTCGAGCGTCTGACGGTGCGTGCAGTCTCGCCAAGGAGGGTTTTATCGGATTGTATGCTGACAATTGAAACCAGGAATCCGACTCCTCCCTCTACAAGCCGGCCTTGGAGGCCATGAAGAACTTCATCAAGACGTCGACCTCGTCAATGACGGCCGTGCCGAAGCCCCTCAAGTTCCTCAGACCACACTACGAGACGATGACAAAACTGTACGAGGACTGGCCAGAGGGCGACAACAAGGTCTCACTCGCGGATGTCCTGTCAGTGATTGGCATGACGTATTCAGACGAAGACCGACAAGATACCCTCAAGTACCGCCTGCTGGCACCTTCATCCGATATTGGCTCCTGGGGTCACGAATACACCAGGCATCTGGCCCTCGAAATTGGTGAGGTCTACGGAAAGAGGATAAACGCCGACGAGCCCACGAAGGACCTGGTCGATCTCGCCCTGATCCTCATTCCTCTGTTCCTCCAGAGCAACGCCGAGGCCGATGCCGTAGACCTGATGAGCGAACTCGAGATCATGGACCAGATCCCCAACTACCTCGACAAGGACACCTACGGACGCGTGTGCCTGTACATGGTCAGCATGGTCAACCTCCTCACCTACCCCGACAACGAGCTCTTCCTCAGGACCGCCCACGACATCTACCTCAAGTACAAGGAGTACACTCTGGCAATGACCCTGGCTATCCGTCTGAACGATATCGACCTGATCAAGGATGATTTCGAGAAGGCCGGCGACCCCGCCCTCAAGAAGCAGCTTGCATTCTTGATCGCGCGCCAACGGATCGTGCTGGACTTGCCCACCGATGAGGGCGACAATGCGATCGTCGAGTGCTTGTCCAACCTCAAGCTCTCTGACCACTTCAAGTCTCTGGGCAAGGAGCTCAACATCCTTGACCCCAAGACGACCGAGGACATCTATAAGAGCCATCTCGAGAGCAGCCGTGTTGCTGGAATGACCAACCTGGATTCCGCCAGGCACAACTTGGCCGCTGCCTTTGTGAACGCCTTTGTTAATGCCGGCTTTGGCAACGACAAGATGATGCTGGTGGAGCAGGATAAGGAAAGTTGGGTCTGGAAGACGAAGGGTGACGGCATGATGTCGACGGTGGCTTCCTTGGGTACTTTGCTTCTGTGGGATGTCGAGGCCGGCTTGGACAAGATCGACAAGTACACGTATGCTGCAGAGCCCGAGATCCTGGCTGGTTCCATGCTTGCTATTGGTATCATGAACTCCGGAGCCCGCGTTGACTCTGAGCCCGCATTGGCTCTGCTGGGTGACGAGGACAAGCTGCACCACAAGAACCCCCTCGTCCGGACGGCCTCCATCATGGGCTTGGGTCTCTCCTACGCGGGTTCCAACAACGAGATGCTGCTGGAGCTCTTGCTGCCCATCATCACCGACTCTTCCCAAGAGATGCAGATCTCCGCCATGGCTGCGTTGTCCTGCGGTCTCATTTTCACGGGCTCCTCTAACCCCGAAGTCAGCGAGGCGATCGTCACCACGCTGCTAGACGACGAGCGCAAGAACCAGCTCACCGACAAGTGGACCCGATTCCTTGCCCTTGGTCTTGGTCTGCTCTTCTTCGGCCGTCAAGAGGAGGTGGATGTCATTCTTGAGACACTTAAGGCTGTTGATCACCCCATGGCTAAGCCCACAGCCGTTCTGGCGGAGATTTGCGCCTGGGCAGGCACTGGTGCCGTCCTGAAGATTCAGGAGCTCCTGCACATCTGCAACGAGCACATTGAGGACTCTGACGAGAAGAAGGGCGACGAGCTCCTCCAGTCGTATGCCGTCCTCGGTATTGCCCTCGTTGCGATGGGCGAGGATGTCGGCCAGGAGATGGTTCTGCGTCAGTTCGGTCACCTCATGCACTACGGCGAGCCCAATATCAGGAGGGCAGTTCCCCTGGCCATGGGTCTCATTAGCCCCAGCAACCCCCAGATGAAGGTCTACGACACGCTCTCAAGATACAGTCACGACAACGACAACGATGTTGCCATCAACGCCATCTTCGCCATGGGTCTGTTGGGTGCTGGCACCAATAACGCCAGATTGGCTCAGCTGCTCCGCCAGCTGGCCAGCTTCTACCACCGCGACCAGGAGTCTCTCTTCATGGTGCGCATCGCGCAGGGTCTTCTGCACATGGGCAAGGGAACCATGTCTGTCAACCCCTTCCACACGGACCGCAACGTCCTCTCCCGTGTTGCCGCGTCCGGTCTGCTCTCAGTGCTGGTTGCCATGATCGACGCGAAGCAGTTTATCACATCCAACTCGCACTACCTGCTTTACTTCCTGGTCACAGCGATGCATCCCCGTTTCCTGGTGACGCTGGACGAGGACCTCAAGCCCCTCAAGGTCAATGTCCGCGTTGGTCAGGCGGTGGATGTTGTCGGCCAGGCCGGTCGCCCCAAGACGATCACGGGCTGGCAAACGCAGAGCACGCCGGTCGTCCTGGCGTACGGAGAGCGTGCCGAGCTTGAGGACGAGCAGTACATCAGCTTGAACAGCACACTAGAGGGACTGGTCATTCTGAAGAAGGTGAGCTAATTTAATTTCCGTGGATGTGTTCGAGGATTGATGCTAACGAATGACAGAACCCCGACTGGGAGGCGGACAAATAGAGCGTTATGACTGATTTGGGGTCTTGGGATCGTTAGTTCAGGCTCGGGGCTGGGACACGATACACTGTATAGTAATTCTACATCTGCGAGTGGCATGCGGAACAGCATCAGACAGATGGGATCCCACGAATAGACGGATCGATATTGCAATGACAAGGCGTTGTTTTACCCTTTCTAAAGGAAGTTCTTTCATTGTCAGGCCGTGAACTGAGGTCTGGTGGTTGGAGGGTTCAGAGGCTACTCTCGAGCGCAGCGAGTTGCCATGATGACTATGGTGATGTCGTGCACGATATGCTGCCCACTGCTTAAGTTTTGACAAAGTTGGCACAGAAGCAGGCGAACTAGCCAGCCCAGAATGCTCAGGTCACGCCGAAAATTACCCATGGGATCACAGAACGAGAGAGGAAGAGGGAGATAATGGCGGCCACGATGAATTGTCGTCCGTCTTCCTTGTACGTAATACACGTCACAATGGTTGGTGGTGGGATATTGCCTGTTCGCGATACGGGGAACGGGGAAGACGGGATAGATAGGCATAGGGGGGACCCTTGACGGGGGACGGAGAGGCATGCAGGCCCTCCACTACAAGCTGCAACACCACGCTGAGGGAGTGATTGGGGACGGCACGGCGTAGGACGCCGATTTGCGGGTTGCGACAGTGGTGTTCGCCCCTCCTGGGTGTCGTTCGGCTTCGCTAGTGCGTGTTGGTGGGAGGGTCGGCCATCCCAGATGTGGGCAACGACAAGCATCGGGTGCGTGGCGGGGGGACCGGGGGTCGGGGTTAGGAGGGAGGGGCGATGGGCAAGCAGGCATCTCATCGGATAGTGTACTTTTTTTTGGTGGTGGCCAGGTGAGAGAAGGAGGAAAAGGCGATGGGCTGGTCGGGCCATTGGGCGGTGCTTGAATCCGGGGTCCCGGTCGGTTTGCGCGGCGGAGTCGGAGGATGGCCGTGTTCGTGTTATCTCTGGGGTGTGTTTGGGCGGTGGATGTTTTTTTTCTGGTGATGGGTGATGGTGCATGGTTGGTATGGACGGCGAAGCGAAGAGCTGAACTTGAGGTTGGGGGAGATGGTGAGAGACATGCTTAATGCAGCATTTCAGCGGCCTTTCCCTGTTATGTCATTGGCTGGTGAGTCAGGCGATTCCAAGATTGATTGCATGGGAGATCAGTTGCGGAGAGCGTGCGTGCGCCCTGTAAGTGACAAGCTTGTACTCTGTAATGTAAGGCAGGCGGCACGTTCTCACAATAGCGACTAAGGCAGGCCGAGGAGGATGACAGGACAACCCGTGGACGGGGTGGCTTGGCGAGGTGGTGGGCACTGGGCAGCCAAGTAAGGTAGCGCAATTGCAGGCGGGCAGACAGGCTGGTCCGAGTGGGTATGGCGACATGGAAAGCACCAACCGCCATGGTCTAGCCGCACTTTCCCATGACAGATCAGAGGGACACGGCGGGCAATGGCGACCGCCGGGGAGGCAAGCAGGGTCGGATGGAGGGGGGGACCCTGGGAAACGCAGCTCCCGTCCTTGTCGGCCGGCGCGATCTTGCTCACAATTATTACGGGCGCGTCTTAAGATGGTCAGATTCCCCAGCTTTTGCCTCGGGAACCACTCATACTGCATCGTCCAATATCAACCAACCTTGCTGGAGGTGTGCCACGCCGTGGGCAGCGAGCCGCGCTTACTTGCATATCTATCTATCTAGTCCGCCCGGTACCCTCCTCCGACTCCTTTTCTCTCCGAGTTTTCTCCTATCGTTGCTTGCTTCCTGGCATTGTCGCCGCCGTTGCTGACCTGCTGAGAGACGAAAAAAAAAGAAACGAATCATACGACGAAGTTTCACGGGCAATTGGTACGCCTGCGACGTTGTGTGTCCGTCTCTGCTGGCGCATAAGAGTAATACATCGGGAGCGCAACCGGCCCTTTTGGAGAAGTGAGCACACCGGTCTCGGCACACACGCCGCTCATCGCCTTGTTTATATCGCCGCCGTCTCACAAGACATTCAAGACACGAGCTTCCGGCCGGATTGGATTTGGCTTTGCGATCACTTACATCATTGCGCCGGACTTTCGACCGTTGACAAACAAAAGAGTTAGAGAAAACTGTCGGCCGGCTGAATAGGGAAAAGAAGGGAATCTTCAGCGATCAACATCAACCACCGATAACATGGGCGACGACCGCTCAATCCCAATCAAGGCGGCATCCTCAAGCCGCGACTTCGTCTCGCAGCTCAGCTCCTCTTTCCGCTCAGGAACACCAACCGCCCAAGAACTCCTAGCCAGGGATCTGGCAGAGTGCTCAGACGAAGAATATGTCGACGAGAACGAGGATGCTGTCGGCTCCGCTTCAGAGTCCGACGAGCAGGAAGGGCCTCTGTTTTACCGGCGGCCCAGCGGTGTCGCCTTTGGCACATCGCGCCCGGTCATGAACCCGCAGACTGTCGACTTGGAGGAGCCGCCATTCCTGACCCGCGTCGAGAAGAAGCAGTCACGCGACGCTGAGAGGAGTCTACTCCGCGACAACCACGTTCTCCCGCCAAAACACCCCCGACCACCACATGAGCCTTTCTACCGCCGCGCATATCGTCGTCTCTTCAGCACTAAGGTCCCGCTTGAGCCTCACGACGAGGAAGCCCCGCAGATTGTCGTCCGTCGTCCGACCGAGTCAACTCCCCTGCTGGCCGGTACCACCCCCGCGCCCGGGGCCCCGGAGGACGGCCACGAGCACCTCAACGAGCAATGGGAAGCTGCCGTCGCGACGGGCCACCTGCGGACGACATGGCAGCGCGAGTCCAAGACTATAGTTCAGTATGCGGCTCCCCTAGTTGTTACGTTCATGTTGCAGTACTCTATCAACGTCGTGTCCATCTTCACCGTTGGTCGCATCGGCAAGATGGAGCTCGGCGCCGTCAGTCTGGCGTCCATGACCGCGACCATTACCTGCTATGCCCCCTTCCAGGGTCTCGCAACCAGTCTCGATACTCTCTGCGCCCAGGCGTACGGCTCTGGGCATCGTCACTTGGTCGGTCTGCAGCTGCAGCGCATGACGTACTTTCTGCTCATGTGCTTCCTGCCGCTGGCCGTGTTGTGGTTCTTCGGAGACGCAGTTCTAGGCGCCATCATCCCGGAGCCTGAATCCGCGCGGCTCGCGGGCATTTACCTGCGCGTGCTGATTCTGGGCGGTCCAGCTTTCGTTTGCTTCGAAGGCGGGAAGCGGTTCGTGCAGGCGCAGGGCCTGTTTCAGGCAACGACGTGGGTGCTCCTGATTGCGGCGCCCATCAATGTCTTTGTCAACTGGTTTCTGGTCTGGCATCTCAACTGGGGCTACATTGGCGCGCCCGTCGCCGTCGTCTTCACCCAGAATCTGCTTCCGCTGCTGCTGTTCCTCTACGTGCGCTTCGTCAACGGCTCTCAATGTTGGGGCGGTTTCAGCAGTCGCGCCCTGTCCAACTGGGGACCCATGCTGCGCCTGGCGCTGCCTGGTATGATCATGATCGAGGCCGAGTACATGGCGTTCGAGGTCCTGACGCTGTTCTCGAGCCATTTTGGAGCAGAGTACCTGGCGGCGCAGAGCATCGTGCTCACACTGACGGCCATCACGTACCAGATCCCATTCCCCGTCAGCATCGCCGCGTCCACCAGAATTGCCAACCTCATCGGTGCAGGGTTGGTGGATGCGGCAAAGACTACCGCCAGAGTGGTAAGTTTCCACTAGCCTTCCCGCTTGAATCGTCTGAATTTCTGTCACTTGTTTCGGGATTTAAAGTAGGATAAGCTAACGTATTGCGCCAGGCATTCGCCGCAGCTCTCATCGTGGGCCTGTTCAACTTCACGGTGTTCAGCAGCCTGCGTTTCCAGGTGCCCAAGCTCTTCACGAGCGACGAGGAGGTCATCGCCATCGTGGCGGACGTGCTGCCGCTGTGCGCGCTGATGCAGGTCTTTGACGGCCTCACCGCGGGTGCTCACGGGCTGTTGCGCGGCATCGGGCGGCCCGCTATTGGCGGGTACACCAACCTGGTCGTGTACTATCTCATTGCGCTGCCGGTGTCTTTCGGGACCGGGTTCGGGCTCGACTGGAAGCTCAAGGGGTTGTGGACCGGCGTCACGGGCGGTCTTGCGCTGTAAGTGTTTTTGCTACATTTCTCTCCTCCCGTTGGACAGTGAAGCGGGTCATTTCTCCCTCGGTGATGAAACGAATGCTGACGGTTGTTTTGAACGTAGTGTCTCTGTGATTGAGTACGCTTTCGTCGTCCTCTTTGACTGGAACCAGGCGGCGAGGGAAGCGGAGTCGAGGAACAGCGCCCAGTGAAACGAGAGGGGCTCCTTGGCCGTTGGGGGGAGGGGGATGTTGCTTTATGACAAAAAGTCCTTGCGGGGTGGCATATACGATAACATTGCTGTTGCGTTTTTGGAGCGATCGGATCGTTTTAGGCAAGAAAAGTTCTGCTTTAGCATATACGTACACAGATGAAGGGGGAAAGTTGCCTAGGAAAGAGGAGGTCTTGTTTTAATCATAATGCGCGACGATGATGTCCATGATGCATTCTGTAGCGTCTCAAGTTTGTAGTCGTTTTCTTCATACTTAATGAGTATCACGGCAAGCAAGTTAATGTCCCATTGAATTGGTGGTTACCTTGATCGTAGGATTGAATCTGAACGACAGGAGAAGAACTCCTCGAACGAAGGATTGCGTTTCAAGTCCGTTCTTTTACCACCTTAGCGGTGTCTCTGGAGGCGCGCTTTTTGGATTAGGGAAGTTTTCTACGACTGTGACATGGGAAGCTCAGACGATGACGGACGTCCGTGGTTTTTTGCCCTCGTTTTGGTAGGTTCGTTCAAGATGGTGGGAGGGTTCCTAAAGGGCTTGGCCGGTGCGAGAGCGATGCGGAGGTCGGGCTTGGAGAGTTTTGGAAATCTGAGGACCCGTGCCGAGGGACTGTTTTCTGTCTCGAAGGGGTTTTTGGAAGTAGATGAGGGACGTTGGTGTAGTTTAGTTAAAGTGTTGTTATCAAGCTCAAGAAAACACTTATGGCGAATATAGGTTGATGCTCTATGAGTTGAAAGCGCGGAAACATTCACAATGTTTCCGTGAGCCTTTGTGTCCGAATATCCGCAGTACGCTCGCTGCAGAAAAAGTATCCGTGGTGGGCTTGGTCTTGCAAGGGTCGATACCTTATGACATGACAGCAGCCCCCAAGAGTGAAGGTTGGTTGGCTCGGTGGGGAGGGCGCCGGGGGCCTCGACCAACCCCTCCTTTCAGCAGCTTGCACCACCCCGTGGCCGAAGCAAGGCGGTGATTTCCCCAAACAGCTTTCCCAAATGCTTGCTGCTTACATCCATGTGGCCGCCGTCGTGTAAAGTGGGTGTTGGAAGGGATGGAAAGCAAACAGTGAATTGATAGCTCGCCAGCTCCAGTGCCTATTTTGCCGCTTACCGCGCTACCGCCGCGGGTCATTTAATCAGTGCAGGGGCAGGGAGTGAGGGGCACTGTTTTTTTTTTCTTGGTGCTGTCGAGTAGCCAGACCAACCAGGAACACCAATCAGTGTCCCAACGAAGCTTGAACCCCTCCTTTTTTTTCTCTGCTCGCCGCCATTTTAAACTTGAGAGGGGCGTGTGTGGGAAAACTGTCCGATCTTCAAACACACCCACCCTAGGTATCCTCGCACTTTCGCACTTTTGGGGGGAAGCTCCGACCGCGGCTGCTTGTGTGTTCGATTCTATATATTGCACGGCAATCTCCCGGGACCTTCCCGCCTGACTCTTGCTGTATTTCGTTGTTACGGTAAATTTGTACCTTTGTGTATAGCAACAAGCACAGCTTTGCGCGCGCGCAACCACCCACCATATCACGAAACGAAACGAACAAGTGTTGGAGAAAGAAAAGTAGCAAAGATGTCGACCACGACAACGACGACCGGCACCGAGGCCATCACGGCCGAGTCGATCCTCCGCCTGTTCCCCGACATCGACACGAGCACCGAGGCGCTGAGCGGTCACGATGCCGAGCAGATTCGCCTGATGGACGAGGTCTGCATTGTCCTTGACGAGAACGACAAGCCCATTGGCAACGCGAGCAAGAAGGCTTGTAAGTTTAGAGCTCCCCCCTCTTCCCCCTTCCTAGCTTGCCTTCCTCTGGGAGGCATCTAGTGTGCTCGTCAAGGACGAACAAGGGCTAATCTCTCCTCCGCTACGGAACAGGCCACCTCATGACCAACATCGACAAGGGCCTGCTGCACCGCGCCTTCTCCGTCTTCCTCTTCGACGCGGACAACAAGCTGCTGCTGCAGCAGCGCGCGACGGAGAAGATCACGTTCCCGGACATGTGGACCAACACGTGCTGCTCGCACCCGCTGGGCATCCCCGGCGAGACGGGCAGCGACCTGGAGGACTCGGTGGCGGGCGTCAAGAACGCGGCGCGGCGCAAGCTCGAGCACGAGCTCGGCATCGACCCCAAGCAGGTGCCGTTCGACGACTTCCACTTCCTGACGCGCATTCACTACAAGGCGCCTAGCGATGGCAAGTGGGGAGAGCACGAGAGTGAGTTTTGAGAGCCTGGAGTGTGTATGAATAGATAACGCTAACGTGGACGGTGCTGTAGTCGACTACATCCTCTTCATCAAGGCCAAGGTCGACCTCAACCCCAACAAGAACGAGGTCCAGGCGACGCAGTACGTCAGCGCTGACGAGCTCAAGAACCTGTTCAAGCAGCCCGACCTCAAGTTCACGCCGTGGTTCAAGCTCATCTGCGAGAGCATGCTGTTCGAGTGGTGGGGCAGCCTTGAGTCTGGGCTGGACAAGTACACCAACGAGCAGGAGATTCGCCGCATGTAAGTGATGGAAGAAGAAACAAATGCTTCAATGAGAAAAAAACAGGATATGAGCATTTAGACGCGGGAGTTTCTTGTTATGTCGAGGTGTGGCTGCGGTTTCACGTTGTTTTTTTCCTTGATTTACGATAACCTAGATATCCAAACACGCCGCCTTTTTCTTGTTATACATTATGAATATGGGTGTCAGCCTTGGTAGAGACGAGCCAAAAGGAGCATTGAGACACGGAGACTGGTATCATTTAGTGAAATTCGCGACACCGCCAGATACGTAGACACGGGTCGTAGGGTCTCTACGTCGCGGGTCCTGCAGGGTTAGAGGAGCGTGATTCAACCGAGTTGTCGAAAGGCGGCAGTACGGACATGTTGAAGATGTATCCGAAGGCGAAGCTGCCGAGACAATGACCGCCCATCACTACGTTGCATGGTCAGTTACCTTGTGCTCGGATGGAAAAGACAGGAAAGAACAAGTCAATCAGGATATTAGTAAGTGAACCTGAGCTATGGGGCCGGATAGGGTACTTACCGCTCCAAATGGGAAGGATTGTTCTGTCAGCGGCGTGCCTCCCTCGCCAGGTTGCCTACCTCAGCTTTCGGAAGCAGCTCCGGATTACACCCTTCCCAGCAAACGGGCAATGACGAAGCACCCACCGGCCGCGTGGAACTCCTTGGTTCCTCAAATGTACTGCAACATTTGTCTTCCCTCTTTCTCAAACCAACCGCTATGGTGAAGCCAATGTGCGTGCACGTCTGCGTCAGTCCGACTTGGTGATTCTTGTTCATCAGACGGGTTTTCCATCAGATCTCATTCACCTTCTTGACAGCGGTCGTCGCTGTATACCCCACGAAAAGCCATGATCTTCACGCAGCCCAATCCCGCATCCGATGCCCAACGTTCCGTACCTGGACGTCGCGCAATCCCACGTCGTACAAATGCTTCACGGAGCGCCAAGACACCCTGTGCCACTAAGCAGCCACGCATCACTACTCGCCCAAAGCCCCTCCGACTCGGTGTTTTCAACGATCAACCTAGTTACCAGCAGAAACTCATCTGCGGTGATTACGGTCTAAACGATGGAATTCCAGTTGACTAGGCTAACTTCGTGCTTGCTGCAGACAGCTTACATACGGCTGCGAGCCCCGTTTCAAGGGCCAAAATGTTTACACAACACTGCCAACGTCCATGCCTTCCGTCCCACCATTCCTCTCCGCCGACGTAAGACGAGATCGATCCGCCACCCGCAAAACACCACGACAAAGCCAGAGAGTATTGCGTCTGACACGGCAACGGTAAGGCGATCCTCGTCTATGGGCTTGGCGTATGCACCCCACGTGTGAAGCTGCGATGTCAACGACTCGTCACATCATATACCTTGTTGGTGCAGCGCTGCCTTATCTGAGCATTCCTCGGGATCGGGCGCTTCGGCGAGCCTATGCCGTACAGAGCCTCTAGCATGCCAAGCCCCCTCACCTGACAAAGCTGCAGACCCTCCTCGGCGGAAGCCTTGTTGGGGCCGGCCTGGATTTCGCCCTGCTTCGATTCGCCCGCTCAGCGCTGGGGGCGGAACGGAGCACACGGTGCGGTACGCCCGGACACCGCCCGGGACGGCCGTGGCTCCACGTCGGAGCTGATAGGCACAGTGGAACGCCTTGGCCGCGTCAGGTTTCACAGCGAACTATGCCGTTGTTGGCATGTGCATCCGCATCGATTGGGCGGGCTCCTGGACTGCAGGGTGTTTGGTTCAAGATACGGGGCGCAGAGAGCAGTCCGACTGATGAACCCTGGGATTTGCGTCCCTATCTCTGGGTCCAGCTGGCCAACCTTTCCCCGCACACCCCACTCCATCCTCCCGTCACCAAGACACAAACAAGCAAGACTCAGGATTCATCCGTTGTGCGCCGTACACTCCTCAACCACTTGACTTCTGCATATACTAGTTGAGCAACACGGCGGTCATCCCTTCGCGCTGGAGGGGCAAACGGCGTTGGCTGGACTTGCATACCCGTCCACGCCGGTTTGCTCAGTAGACCACCAGTGCTGATGCGGCACACGAACACATGCTCTATTCCGACACAGCTAGCAATCTTCTCCTGAGCTCTAAACCCAGGTCATCCTGGTCTGCCCACCCCCCCATGAGCTTATACGGCGCTGTCCTCGTGCCTTTCATTACGGCATATCTGGATGGTATCGAATCCCATCAGCATGGTTTTGGCTAGTGTTGAGGCAAGCCAAGGCGGATACCAAAGGCAAAGCTGCCCGCATACTGTCGGTGCAACCGGCATAACCTCCCCACGACTCAGTGTGTCGTCGGTGTCCATCACCCGTTCTCGTCTTATTCGGCCTCTGTTCTACAGCAGATAGCAGCATACCTACGAGCATTCCTCTGCAGACGGGTTGTACCGTGTAGACGCACAGCAACGGCCGATCCAGCTGTTCGACACTTCCTCTCAACATCCCGCTACCCACGGCCGCCACTGTCTGAGTCCTCGCCCCAATCCCAGCTCCATCCCGCGCAGGGCTCCTTGCCCCTCCACCCTCCTAGTCTGCTGTCTTACTCTCCCTTCGTCTCATCCCTACCCTGTCCGGTTGGTCTAGTGACACCCCGAACTACATAATCCTCTTTCTTCTCCGCTCTCCAGGCGAGTTGCCTTTCTGACACTCTCTTCTTCATACCATTACACTTTGGATAGGTTCGCTCTCGTACAGTTTTCACCTAGGTTTCTACCTGGTCAAGGACAAGGATCAAGTCCTATCTGTATCGAGAGTTCCTCGTCTCAAGGCCCCAAGTTTCTGGGGGCAGATCTCTGGACAAGAACACAGCTACGGGCTGTGCTTTGTTGCTAGACTGCTGCTCACTCGACTTCAATCGAACACAGCACTTACTCAAGATCTCTCAAACTATTCCTCTTTCTCGCCCATACATCTTCATCTGAATCTCTGCTTGACAACGCATCGCCAGTCCCCATATAACATCGTTCATCGCACCTCGTGAAGGCGTCGTTTACAGCATCACGCTAACGACCCTCTATCGTTGCTTCGATCCCACACCCATCCAAAGGATCTGACCCGTCAAATCATTATTGATGTCGGTTGACCTTCGCACCAGCCTCAATTGCCTTCGCCATCCATCCAGGTTTATGCCCGTCTCGAGAACGCAGCTCTCGAGAGTACACACGGGCGACAGTATACAGAATTTAAGTACGTCTCACGGTGGAGAGACGACGCATCGCAGTGACTGTGGCTGACCACGTTCAGATTCGTGAACAAGACAGGCTCTCTGGAAAGAAGCCCGTCATGGAGCACGTAAGCAAAAGCGTCACCCTCGTCGAGCTCAAACGCTCTCTCGTTCCCCCGAAATGGGAGGATACCGTGCGTGTTATTGGCATGTCGGAGTGCAAGGAGGCCGGCCTCTCGCTGGCCCATGCCTTTGCTGCTGATGAACTTAGCCAGTACCTCCTCGACGCCGATGACATGGCCAGCTACTCGGCAGAACACAAGTGGAAGCTGCATGTCGACATCATGACTTACATCACAGCCTCTCACTGTTACGATGGACTTGTCACTACCATAGGTCCCGACCACGACGGCGTCGCTCTCTGGTGAGTAATCTTGATGCTTCATCATACTGGGCCCTACCAGCTGTAGAACTACATGTCCTCATGATGAGTGATGCTCCGACATTGACATCGCGGTAACTCTGAGCTAACATCAGACGGATACATACAGGATGCCTCCCGGATCGGTCGACAATGGTTGGCTGACTATCCTCCGAAGTGGTATGTGGCGGCTCTACTACCAGCTCACCGCGGAAGGCAGGAGTCGTTACTATGACGAGTTAATGCCACTGCTACACGACACGAAGCATGAGGTCATGGGCGAGCGGGACAATGACTGTTACTATCTGGTCTATTTAGGGACCAAGCCAAGTGCCCGAGGCAGGGGGTATGCGCGGAAGTTGCTTAACGACATGATTGAGAGGGTACGTCTCGGCCATTTCTTCCCTCTGACACCATGATTCTGCGTCCGTCGTGAGGATCGCCTCTCTACTTCGTCCATGCAAATCCCACTAACAAGCACAGGCCGACGCGGAAAACCGCGCCGTGTACCTTGAGTCGAGCTCCCTCTCGAACAATGTCTACTACAGCAAGTTCGGCTTCGAGTACAAGCGTGAGATCCGCTTGACCCGTGGAAACACCCCCGTCAGCCTATTCGTCATGGTCCGCGAACCGATCCCCCGCAAAACGGGGGTCTACTCGGCCGTCGTGGCTAGCAACATCAAGATGCAAGTCAACACGGTCATGAAGGAAGTGTCACTGGTGTGATTTCGTGGTGCAAGGCCTGTCAGTCACCTTTCCCCTGAAATGGAACAAGTGATGTGATGATGTCAGATGATGTGGTTGTTTTCTTCTTGACAAATTAAGGAATTGTTCTCGGGTGTTTTTCTCGGTCCTTTCGGGCTTGCGCCTGCGTCCAGTCTGCTACTGACCTACGCTCAAGTTTTCAACCTCCCCTGAGGGGCGTGCCCGATCCAACATCGGCGCATATTTATTTGACTCTCGCACACAGTCTCTGCCGCAGCGGGCGATGAACATGTGACCCGGTTTTGCGAATGTTTTTTATTTGGTTTCTTGCTTCGCTTGTATCTACCAACTAGCTGTAGCCATTCATTAGAATAACGACCAATTCACTCATTTCATTCATACAACTGGGGAATGGACGCGTTCTCGTGTTTCCGCCCACCTTGCCAACTCTTTTTTTTTCTCATGCTGGATATCAGCCCTCCGCCAACGCATTTTGCGTTCTTTGCAACCCGCACCTACACACTCTTCTGCTCCGTTCGGTTTCCAACAACCATTCGTTTGATATAAGCAAGCCACCAGATCAGTAATCGAGGATAGCCCACGTCTCGTCGTCGATGGTGGTGTAAATCAGACCCTGGCCCAGCAGCTCGTCCGCGGCACCCATGACGTCGCGTATGCTCAGGCCCGCACCCGTCGAAATCTGGTTGATATGCACGCCCTCGTTGCCGCCGGGCGCGTTGTTGATGAAGTTGAACATCTTTTGCGCGGCGACGGAGCAAACCCTCAGCTTGCCCGCGTGCGCAGACCCGCCACCGGCACCAGCACCGCCGGCACCGCCATCGTTCCCGTAGTTGTCGTTGCCGTCGACGAACATGCCGTCGCCGCCGCCAGCGCCGTTAGCGGCGCCGTTAGCACCGAGGGGACCCTTGGTGAAGTAGAGGTGGACGTAGGTGGACTCGAGGAGGTGGTAGTTGACCTCGTTGAAGTCGGTGACGGGGCGGATGAAGTGGGCGCCGACGTGGCGCTTGCCGTTGAAGGACTTGATGCGGCCCCAGACGCGGACGTGGCCCTCGAGGTCGAGGCCGGCGGCGTCGTCGTCCTTCTTGTCCGTGTCGACCCACTTCTTGGCCTCGATGAGACCCGTGCCGTCGTCGAGCTTGAGGGTGATGTTTGTTGGTTGCGGGGAGATTTGGCGGATCTGGGCGACGAAGGTTACCTGTGTGGAAGGAGGAAAATCAGCAAAAGAAAGTGATTTTGGGAGGGTAGAAGGGGGAAAGTAAGGCGGAAGAGAAGGGGCAAACACGAACTTGTGTGACGGTTGCTCCGTCGATTTTGAAGTCGGCGCCGGGGTAGGCTTCCTCTGCGTCGATGATCTGCTTGATCGTGACGGGGCGGAGGGATTCTTCGCTGTACGCCTTGCCGCCGCCGCCGCCCTGGCTGTTCTGCTGCGAGCCGCCGTAGACGAAGCCGCCGGCGTCGTCGCCTCCCTGGGCGCCGTATGATGTTTTTTGGTATCCGCCGTACGCAGCTGGTTTAAGTCAGTAAGACAGAGTCTTTTTCTTCTGCTTTGGATTGAAGATGGTGGAGACGGTCGGTTGGACGTACCCATTGTATCTGTAATTGTGGTATAAAGGGTTGGTGACGTGGGAGATGGAGGAGGCGGTCGAGGAGGGGGGGGGGGGTGATTTTTTGTCGAGATGCGTGAAAGGGCGGTTTAGTGCTGGGGACGCGTCTTTACGCGTTAATTGATGACTGGACTTTGAACGGCGGACCCGGCGGCGGCGGGCGGTGGGTGCCTGTGCCATTGCATGGTTGCCCCGCGTTGGGAATGTTGCTGCCCTGCGACTGGATGGAATGCTGAGGTGGGTGGATGTGGGGTGGTGATTATGTAAGGTAGACGGAATGTGGCCTGTGCTGCTGAGTGCCGGGATGCAAATTGATGTCACCCCCGTTGAAGCGAGAAGAAGTACTTGGTTGATGAAGGTCCGAGATATAGTCATTTGAAGGAGACTTATATTATTTCATGGCTGGCGTGACGCAGAAATTGATTCGATTCTAATCACAACACGAGTCTTAGATTCGTACTTTTTCGCGTTGTTTACCCCCGTAAATGCCTATCAAACGCAAGTAGTCAGTTAAGTGAGCAGACGCTGCTCAAGACATGTACAGCAGCTCTTTACTCTGGATCAAGATACAGTCATCAAAGGATCATGACAGATATTCCCGGGATTCTACCCGTCATTCTTTGCTTTATTCTCATTCATATGTCGCGTTCAACTTGAAGTGTTTACTATGAGACGGAATGCGAGTTACCCGATTCAGGGTCTTGGACTCGCAGATGAAGGTCCAAAGTCCGCTCGGCGTCACATGATGGAAGAACAATTGAGTCTTCTATGACAGCCAGAACATTCAATGCTGGACCTGGTTTCTGAGTCGAATGCAACATTGATGTGAGTGAAAGCCGACTGAAGTCGAGGCAGCTCAAACACCACCCTTGCTTTCGTCCGAATATTGAGGCGGGATCACGGTGTCAGCCACGGCTGATGGATCTTGAAGAACTCCATCAGATAATGGATGCATTGGACGAACAGATTGACCTCAACGAACAGTACTCTATAGGCTAGACACAGCATCGAATTGGCAGAATCATTCGCAACGCTCATGGACAAGCACGGACAAATTGGGCAATGTTCCACGAGTTTCTCCCCATGTTCGGTGGTCGGTGTGGCGGCAGGGTCCCGAGCCAAAGATTAGCCTCGGCTGATGGCGCTGTGGAGGCTCCCGCACCCCGGCTTTGACAACGACTGGCCCGCTGCAGTGACGCTGCACCGCTATCACTGGGCAGTGGGCGTGGACGCTTCGCGGGCAGTCTGGAGACATTGGACCACCTGCCGCGACCGGGGAGCTCTCTCCTCTCTCTCCGCCGCCGGCTCCCCCATGCCGATGCTTCTGACATCAACCATCCCAGCACCATCAAACCCAAACTCCCTTTCCTTCCGCCACTGCCACCCGACCGACGCTGCTCGATTGCGACATCCTCACCGTCACGTTCTTCTTCCGCCCAGCAAGCCACTTCGATTGCATTCTACGTACATTTTTGGCGCAACGTTAATACAAACACCATTGCCAACGCCTTTACCGATCTCTCAATCGCCCCATCGTCACCACTCCTGGTGTACGTGAACCGATAGACAACAACAGCCCATCCACGATATCCGAAGCCCCCTTTTTACGGCTTCCACATGGCGCGATCACAAACCAAGACCCTCCCCGTCATCCCCCTCGCCCGCGGCACCATCCTGCTGCCCGGTGTCACTCAGCGCATTCCCGTCACCGCCGCCCGACCCGATATCCCCGCCCTTCTCGCAAACGTCTACGAGCGCGCAGCCTCCGCCGCCCCCAACGAGCGCATCGACTCCGTCCCCATCGCCTGCGTTCCCGTCTCCTCCCCTTTCGTCGGCCCCAACGGCCAGCTTCTCATTCAGGATGCCGATCAGGTAGACGAGGCTCTGATCAAGGAGGTCGATCCCGGTACCGCCCGCAAGGCCGACCTCTTTAACTACGGCGTCGCCGCTCGCATCACCGGCATCGAGGGTAGAGGAACTGCCGAGTTTGCGTTGCGCGTGGAGGGCGTCGCGAGAGTCCGCGTCGAGAAGGTCACACAGGAGAGGCCGCACTTCGAGGCCAAGGTTAAGTACTTCCACGATGAAGGTCAGTACTCGTGCCCCAACATCACCAATGGCGTCACATGCTGACATGCCTGGCCACAGTCTCTGCAGATGCCCAGATGCAGGAGCTCTTCTCCCTCCTGAAGTTGCGATCAAGAGAGCTCGTCACCATTCTCCGCATATCCGCCCTCCTCCCCAGAAGCCCCGACAGCCCCGGCGGCCTGTCGCCCCTGCTGACTCGACGTCTCGAACTGTTCATCAATAAGAAGGAGCTCAAGGACGCCGGAAACCTGGCAGACTTCATGGCCAACATCGTCGAGGCTTCGTACGAGGAAAAGTTGGAGGTGCTTGCGGCCCTGGATGTTAAGGTCCGCCTGGCCAAGGTCATTGAGCTGCTGGATCGTCAGGTCGGGGGTATTAAGAACAATTTCAAGATCACAACGTTTACCAGCGTGCCTGTCCAATTCCTGGACAAGATCAACGACCGCTCATCGCGCCGCGTCGGTCCCAATGGCATCCCGATGCCGCCGAACACCATGTTCCCTCCTGGTCCCAACGGCGTCATGGGCCCCAACCAAGACGAGGATCAGGAGCCCAATGAGTTGGAGGAGCTCAAGAAGAAGCTGGATAAGGCGCAGCTGCCGCCGGAGGCTGCCAAGATGGCCGACAGGGAGGTGAGGAGGTTGAAGAAGATGATGCCTGGGAACCAGGAGTATCAGGTCACTCGCACGTGGCTCGACGTGCTCGCCGAGATACCCTGGACCGTGACAACAGACGACAGACTGGGCCCCGATACCCTGGCGAGAGCCCGCAAGCAACTTGACGAAGATCACTACGGCTTGGACAAGGTCAAGAAGCGCCTCGTCGAGTACCTAGCCGTCCTGAGACTCAAGCAGTCCATCAACGATGATGTCGAAGAGCAGATCAAGAAGGCCGAGCAGGAGCTGGTTCCGCCGGAGTCGGACAAGGACAAGGAGGGCGAGACCAAGGAAGAGGAGAAGGTCGATGCGGAGCAGGAAGAGCGAACGAAGCTAGCCAACACAAAGCTCGAGGTTCTCCGGTCAAGGCGCATGGTCGATAGGTCACCCATCATGCTTCTGGCTGGACCACCGGGTGTCGGCAAGACCAGCTTGGCGAGATCTGTAGCCACCGCGTTGGGCAGGAAGTTCCACAGAATCTCACTGGGTGGTGTCAGGGATGAAGCCGAGATTCGTGGCCACCGACGGACATATGTCGCGGCCATGCCCGGCTTGATCGTGCAAGGCTTGAGGAAGGTTGGAGTGGCGAACCCTGTGTTCTTGTTGGACGAGATTGACAAGTTGGGCATGTCCAACTTCCATGGCGACCCTTCCGCAGCGATGCTTGAGGTCCTCGATCCGGAGCAAAACAACTCGTTCACGGATCACTACGTGGGGTTGCCCATTGACTTGAGCAAGGTACTGTTCATCGCCACCGCCAACGACCTGAACACCATCCCGGCGCCCCTCCTAGACCGTATGGAAACCATTTACCTGCCAGGCTACACGACGCTTGAGAAACGACACATTGCAATGCAGCACCTTGTGCCCAAGCAGATCCGGGTCAACGGTCTGTCGGAAGACCAGGTCCACTTCGACAAGGACGTGGTATCCAAGATTATCGAGTCGTACACCCGTGAGTCAGGGGTTCGCAACCTGGAGCGTGAGATTGGCTCCGTCTGCCGGCACAAGGCGGTCGAGTTCGCCGAGGCCAAGGATGGTGGACAGCTTGAGACATACAAAGCACAGCTGACGGTTGAGGACATTGAGGACATCCTGGGTAGCGAACGGTTTGAGGAGGAAATTGCCGAGAAGACGAGTCGACCCGGCATCGTGACCGGCCTGGTGGCATACAGCTCGGGCGGCAACGGCAGTATCCTATTCATCGAGGTTGCCGACATGCCTGGAAACGGCAGCGTGCAGCTTACCGGCAAGCTGGGAGATGTGCTCAAGGAGAGCGTCGAGGTCGCCCTCTCTTGGGTCAAGGCGCACGCTTATGAACTGGGCCTGACGGCGGAGCCGACGACCAACATCATGAAGGAGCGCAGCATCCATGTCCACTGTCCCTCTGGCGCCATTCCCAAGGACGGCCCTAGCAGTGGCATTGGCCAAGCCATCGCCCTCATCTCTCTGTTCTCTGGGAAGACAGTTCCCCCAACCATGGCCATGACCGTAAGTCTTCATCTACCAACATGCTCCCTGATAAGCTGTGTACTGACACAACATGCTCGTGCGACAGGGTGAAATATCCTTGCGAGGCCGTGTGACTGCCGTCGGAGGCATCAAGGAGAAGCTCATCGGCGCTCTCCGGGCGGGTGTCAAGACAGTGCTACTCCCCGCGCAGAATCGGAAGGATGTGAAAGATCTCCCGCAGGAGGTCAAGGACGGTCTCGAAATTCTCCACGTCAGGTAAGTCCGACCTCAAACACTCTCACCCCCTTACCTTGTACTCTCTGCCCCCTCGCTTCCTGAAGTCGTCCCATTCCACCAACAAGCCCTCCCGTCCGTCCCATGGCGTTGTGTCTCCCCGACGCGGTGCGACTCAAGGCAAACCTCGCAACCCACTCATCACCCCCTGGTCCTGGAACCGCTTCCTTTGATCACGCAGTGTAACTGACGTTTGTCCTACTTCAGCCACATCTGGGAGGCCATCCGGCTCGTCTGGCCCGATTCCCAGTGGCCCGGCGCTGAGCCGTTCCCTCCCATCGAGAGTCGTTTGTAAATCAAGAGAGCGTGAAAACGTACCATATTCCAGGATAAGGAGACGCAGCAGCCGCGGTTTTGTACTACCCAACTCAACACCACCATCATCATCGGAACCGAGGCCTCGCCGCTTCTTCTCCCACGCAAACCAGAGTGTATCTATCAACAAGTGGAAGCGGCATAGCACGGCAGATGCGGACAAGAGGTCTCGGTTTCATTCG